TACTTTGCGTTTCTATATACAGTAGTTTATGCGAAAGGAAGGGATAAGTGACTGGTTAGTTTGATTTTGCTATGGGCCCTTCCAAGGAATAACTGTTGTGATGTTGTATAGTACCTCTGTCGGTACTCGGGGTCACATGATATACGTGCGCTATTAGATTTACATAATTCATAATATATCGGGTTCAGTAAAATGGTATGATTTAATTGTATCATTGAAACAAGGATTTTTTTTATTCACATGCAAGATTTAGATATAAAACAAAATGACGGTTAAGGATTATTAACTGAGGAAGAAGAACCTACTAACTAAGTAAATAGCATAACAAACATATTTTTAAAATCGTAATGTCTTAAACAGTTCATGTTTTCACATGATGTTGGCTTAGAATGTTTGATCATGCAATAATGTTTGTCTATAAATAATTAATTTTCGACTTCAGATAGAATCGGAATACGCATTGAAAACGGGAAAAAAGTCATTTGTTTACGTTGTAAAAATGGCGCGTGTGGCCGATAACTACTGCTTGTTTCGATTAAAGGAGTTAATTAAAGAAAAGTTATCTCAACACAAAAGAGAGTCCATTTACAAGTATGCTTACATCTCTGAAAATTATTGAAAACATAATTATCAAGGATCTCAACACGTTCCATATCTGACACATATTCTACATGTACACGTAGTGGTTTTGCGAGAAATGTTTATTGTGTGTGATAGCTATTATGACTTACTAAGTGTAAGCGTATGCAGACAGTGAAAGTAGGAAAGAGAGTGTACATAAATATATAATGCATGGTCTAGAAAAAAGTGGCAAAAAGACATTGAGTTTTGATAAAAAAAATCACAAACATTTTTTTTTTATACCTGTCAATGCATATACACACTTTATGAAAAAATATCATGCTTTTATACAAATGATCCATTCTGTGTTGTATCTTTGACTTTCCTCATTTCTTTTTACCTGATCGATATTACTCCTCAGTTTTCACTCTTCAAATACACTTTTTTTTTAATTGTTGTCGGATGTCAACGACACTTATGATATCAATTTGACAATAAAGCTCCGAACTGTAATTGATATGAAGTTTTCAAGAGGAATCGTTATAATATTATTAAGTAGTATATGTCTCATTAAGTTTCTAACTACATTAACACTTATTGTTTTGTAGTAATTCATAATGTTTTAAAAGTTTGTGTTTAATCATGATTTAAATATGTGCGCTTTTGTGATTTTTACAATCTTTTGAATTTTATTTTTAAATGAATCTAGATGACGGTCCATTTGTTCTGAATAGTTGAATGTGAATGCATTTATTGTTCTTCTGTTCCAAGTCGTACAGTATGCATAAGTTTGCTTTCATTGTGTCGTGCGAATTCCCATCGCACACCAAGCGTTCCTCGTGTTACTGCGTTTCGTTGCGAAGACATCGAGCCCTCTTTCACTTTTCCAACTCGGTGTAGGTAAGCTTTGTCGAAGGCATGGCCACCGAAAGGAAAACAACTTCATTATGTAGGGTCTAACGTATCATTATTTGATCACGCCGTATCCGAAATTATATTATATACAAGTATAACCCGTATATTCTAGATACGCCGCAGTGGGCCAGTTCTAAATCGAGATGAGGGGGCTCATAGACTCTCGCACATCTATGACCAAGTATCAAACAAAGCGTAGTTGAATCGAGTCATTTCGGTACATATATACATCTAGTGTACAGCGTCGCCGAATCGGCATCGACTGTGTTGACAACTCGTACACATTTTACACCTTCGTGTGAATACGCTTCACTGGTCATTTGTCTGATGAAGGTGCATACTGTACTAGTCATCGAAATGTCACATAGAAACACTTATTGGTTGTGTTACAAGAACTTTTCATAATACAGTCAATACCGTAATTCGACCTTGCCCTCCACGAGGAAGTTATTTATTGAAGTTGAATGAGCAGTGAGAACACTTCGAATTTACGATGAATCCAGGCGTGAATTTATTTGCTGATTGCACAGGCACCTGGCTACAGTTGGTAGATGCTACAACAGCCTCGTTATTTGACATGTCGTCAGAACCTGAGATAACCGTTGCTGATGGACGCGTGATATCGTTTGAAGTGTGTGATCTTGCGACAGTGCGTAAAACAACAGCTGTTTGTAACTCTGGGTGAGTTAAAAGTAAACAGGAGAGTGCAGCACTCAGTGCTTCCTGTTGTGATGTTGACATGGTCCTGTTATATGACCGGAGTGAGGAGTCATTTTTGTGGTTAGACATAAACATGATATGCCTTGTCTGAAACTTTTGATCATGCGTACATTATACGATTTTGGACAAGCTTTCATTCGTGTCAATGCATTTGTTAAAAATCAATGTCTTACTATTTGTTAAAGTGTCATTCCCGCTAGATGATTTTTCATTACCGAAAAAGTTTGGCAAATCCAAGCAATAAGTGGGAATATCGTTCGATTCTGTCATCGTTAGATTAGGGCAGTGTAATAGACGATATTTTTTGATAAATTGTATGAGTGTTAAAATTGTTTCCGTTGGGTTTTTTTTAACCGATGTGCAATTTGTACGATATTTCAGACCTTTTTTGGGTTGTACTAAAAGTACATGTAACATTATTTTTTTTAATTACCCCATTTGTTTACAAATAAAATATAATAACATTGTCAAATCTCACAATGCCCAGCGATATTTTTGCAGACGTCATGTTTGTTTACATTGGATATTGTAGTTCTGGTCTGTGTTGTATTATTACGCTAAGAACTATGTCTCGTTATGGTAGCAGTGGACAGTAGCGTACGGTGGCCATGGGTTATATTTTGTGCAATGAATAACCTATGTAATTTTACACGTATCAAAGTTTAAAAATAGAATCAGCACTAAAATTAGCATATACATGATGAAGTGGACTATGTGGGCTTCACATTTAAAAAAAAAAAATAGTTTGAGACCTCAATTTTAGCCATTTACAAATCGTTTTCATGTAGTCTTTTTTGTACTCAGCACATGTGTAAATATTGTAAAAAATCCAGTTATTCAATTTCAGACAGGTTTTAAGAAAAAAACTACTACTTGCGTGGCTCAAAGTTTGGGTTAAAAATAATATCTTTTTGCATTTTTGGCGTTTTTTGATGTGGTAACCATAGTTTTCACAAGTCCCAAATCTGGGGAAATCTTTTTTTGAAAAAGAAATCATTCTCCTAAAAAAATGTAATCAAAATGTAGTTTATAAATGTATATATATGTGTAGGTGTGTTGTGCAGGATAAATCCGCTATCGATGTTTATCTGAGACATGCCCTTTACTTTTAGGATCAAGCCATTTCTACTGTACTCTGCTACCTATGTTTCACTATTTTTGCACTAATCAGGGGATGCAGTCCATTTGTATAAATACCAATTCCTGTCCATGAGTTCAGTGATTTCCGACCTTTTTCACTCGTTTCAATCATTGGAATAGTTAAACTGAGATTTAGAGTACGTCTTACAACAGCGTATTTTTTATTGTTGTCTACTGCATTTCACTATCTCCAATATATATATAGCTACCTTCCTTGAGCGAGATCCTACACTCAAACGACCAGCGGAGAAAGCCATCTTACTATAAATGTACGTTCTCCAATGTCACGAATACTTGTAAACTATATTCAATCAATTTTGTAACAACTGTATGAAAGCAGCGAGCACTAGAGTGTCATCAGCTAGTAGAATGAAAAGTATGTGGATGTCGCTTATTATACGAAGACCGAAGTTAACCGGGTCAAGCTGCCGTCGAAGATCATCGATCATTACAAGAAAGCACCCAGCGGAGAGCACACGACATTCACCGAGGTCATTTAAGGACGTGTCAGGTGTTGGGTACAGTCTTGGCTATATCGAGATATGACAAGACGACTTTGCTCTCGTTATTGCATCTCAGTCGCGAAGCAGACACACACAAATACAGCCCGGATTGAAGTGTCAGTGGAAGCATCTTCAAGTGACAACAAGCGTCGCAATGCAAGTATGAGCGGGGAAAATTACCATCACACCATATGAGCGACCGGAGCGAAATGTGTAAGTATTTTGAACACGAAAAACCCAGGTTCAATCTCTTTAATTCGAAATCACTATCATATGGAAGGAAAACCAAGATACATTTAATTACGAACTTTTTGTATTCATCATAAATTAATATGACGTAACATCGCAACGTCATTTTGGGGATCTCGAAACTTTTTCACATGGATTTTTTTTGAAAACAAGTATTTCTATTGTGTGATTGTATTCCTACAGAAAGTGCATTAGCTCGAGTTGTGACGTTTCTTGTTTCATGGATATAAAGTATGAAAGACCTTTAATTTGTATGGCATGGAATGAACATTTTGTGTCGTAATTCCAACTCCGCATCCCTCGGAAAGTGGTTATTTGTAGTCTCAGCCTCGCTATATGCACCGTATGTACTGTAATTCATCCTTAAAATACATAGTTATGCATTATTTTTAGTCTACAGATGATTCATGTTTAAGCTCAAATAGCATCAGAGGATGTCTTTCAAACTCAAAATTTGTTTTTTGTTTACGTTGTTATAAATGGCGCGTGCGATGGTTGTGTATTTTGTTTCGGGCTGTAGGAATACAATCACAAAAGATCGTCATAGAATGTTGCTAGAGAAATGTTCATTTGAAGCACAAAATATTGCAAAATCCAAGCCGTGATCTATTTTGGGTACTGACATTACGGAAAAAAAACACCCAAAAAACGGAAACGCTAATTGTTAATGTAAGAGTGTTCCATAAATATCTCACGTGAGCCCTGTGTGTTTATTTCGTTGTGGAACACCCATCGATATTCTGTTTTTGATGCAACCATAAACTTTAGTGATCCATTTTTTGTAGTGTCACCTTATGCCCAGTGTTGAAATCAAATTTTGGATTATATGACTATAAAACACATGCATACCAAACGCTTTAATAGTGTACAAGTACAAGGTAAATGTGTACACATGCATACCGATAACTCCTCGTTATACACGACAGTTTGACCAGGAAGTAAGGACGGGGAATAGACATGTTTATATATTAACACAGAATATTATTTGATTCTAAATAATGCAACAATCTGGTGGATTAAGACGCCCTGAACGTTTGTCAACATGTTGTTCATATTACTGACAATCATATCATCGGCAGGTATGCATATATATGTTAACACTAATGTATTGTTGAGTTATACATATACACTTGTAATGCGGTTTTGTCAATTGTCGTTGGGTTGGTGTTTGATAGAATGTGTTTGTTTTATATTTTATTTCGAAGTGGAGGTAATCACTTCAAATGGCTTCTTTGTTATAACAGATTTTTTTGGTTTCAGTGAATGGTGAATGATACTGTCCCGACATGATGTGTTGTGTAAAACAGGTATCGTCGTACTTCAGTACAACAGTACACGATCTTGTATGTGCATACAATCACAGGGACCTGCGAATTTGTTACAGCTATATTTGGACCTAAACTAAGGTGTTCAGAGTAATTTTATATGTTTTAGGGGTTTAGATCGACGTTCGGTAAAAATGACACCCCGATGATCATATATATATAGGTAAGATAAGAAAAGTGTGCGTACTAATTTACGTAATATTACCAACACGTATTAGACTTGCTCAAGTCCTTGAATACTAGTACACTAAAATCAATAAGAATGGAATGTGCGTCAAAATCAATCTCAGTTAGTATTACTAGACGTGGATTGTACCAATTGTTTTTATCAGTTACGGTCAGTCCGGATAGGCAGATAATTCGAACAAACTTTTGAACAATAAAAGCAATAATTTGCGGTCTAGCGATAATTTGAAACCTCTTTATTCACATTTTGGATTATTCGAAAACAAGAGAGTGCTGAAACAATGGAATTATTGATCGATTTTGGCTTCATGTATCGGCAATGCAAATAGCCTCGCGAAATTTGCTCAAACTGATTTATTTGTAAATCGACAGCATTTAATAATTGTGTAACAGGTAGAAGTCATGATGTGCAACCTATGACAGACCATAATACATAAACATTCTACATGTTAGCGATGATTGAGTTTCTCCCTTGTTAACATGTACACACGCCAGTCACTTTGTTTCTGTCCCGACCATGTATCAGTACGGAATGCGAAACTTTGCCGTCGCATCGCCGATAGACTGGACATGTGTAGATATTACTGTTTACATTTTGAGTATAAAGTTGCGAACTGGGCACCAATATCTGCTTTAGTACTTAATTGATATGTTACCTATAGGTGTTTCAAAGCAAACAGGTTTGACCAGGCAGTCGGTCGAACTCGTTAGTCCGTAACTGCAGATGCAATCCACACTCCGCATCCTGATCCATTACAATATCGAACTTTCATCAATACTCGAAAAACTGCTTTGCGGTCAGTGCAAATTGAACTTGATGATTGATTATTAATAGGTAAGAAGGTACAAGGAAGATAATTGTACCATTATTCATTACCAGATTTGCAAATATATTGTAATAGGCCGTCGTTGTCCCGAATCAAAGACTTGACTGATTTTTGCCGAAATCGACTTGGTTTGTTTGAACTACTTTTTATTTTAACGGCTATAATTTCGTGTATGCCTAATTGAATAGGATTGACAATATTTATTAATTTTTGCTTTATTTGACCGCAGGGGTTTGTTGTGCCGAATCCATCATAATCCGTTGGAACAACACACACTTTTCCGTGTCATCATTTTGACAACGACAACAATTATGAAGACTTCTGACACCCCGACGATAATTAACAACACTTTAAAATGTCAAAAGCAATCGTTGTTACAAAGCGCAAATAAAATAAACAAATAAATAATTTCAGACTAAAATAATAACAACTTTTGCATAAAACCATATCTTAACCTGATCAAGAACGAGGCAAAAACAATATATGTATCTTAGAATACAAGAATTTACCAGAACTAGTAAGAAACAATGTTATTTACCAGCATAAGCCACAAGTGAGACAGTCAAACAACTCGTCATGATTATGACCAACACCCCAGAGTACATAGATGTGAAAGACAATAATCACTTGTTATATTATCCAACTGTCGGTCACATTTCAATACCTGAATGTGATTAAAACAAGTCACATATTCACAAACATTAAGGAATCACACACCACAGTTTCGAAAATATTCAATTGTCATAATGATGTACAAGGATATCGACTGAATAATCTAATCTGCCACAGACCTACCTTTGAAAAAGTATTAAAATGAAGTAAATGACAAAATCTAATATAGTCTTTAAATAGCGACACCTAATTTTGAAAACAAACCAAAACAATAAGTATTTTGGAGGATGCATATTATCATGCAATGTATATTTAAGTTTGAATATTTTGTCTGTTTTTTACAGGCAAAATAAGATCAATTTGTTAATGTTTTACATTTCTTGCTTTTCACATTATCATGACAGATGCTGTGACACTGACTGGGTCGTCTGAGTACGCTGTCCCCGGGAGTGACTTTACTCTGACGTGTGACGTACCAGATGAGGCCAATGCTGTTACATTTCACCGCCGTCCTGACGTGTCTACTTCAGTAGGTAGTGTACAAGTAGCTGGCAGTCAATGTTACAACACCAAAGACAACCCAGCCGTCCTCTGTACACCGAATGTCTGTTCCTGTGTTACCACGTCGACTGGAGGCCGCGGTACAGTGTTTCGGTGGGTCATACAGCCACAGGCGGGCTATCATGGATCTGTGTGGTTCTGTAGACGTACCAACCTTAACCTGACTGACCAAGAACTGGACAGTCAGAACTACACTCTAAATGTGGCAGGTGAGTTAATGTCCATCAATTGTTGATGATTTGTATATCACAATTCCTGTTCAATACCCATCATAACATCAGAGAAATCAGGTTTAGTGTTATTTTACCTAAAATGATATACATAAGTTAATATTTTAAGCACAACTTGTAAACAAAGAAGATACCACTTGTATGAGATTTTACATTTATATTGAAGCGACAAAAGAAATTGTTCAAGCGACCAAGAACGATAAATCAGCAAAATATTATCACAGGTAGTGACAAGTTATATTTACTGCCCTGTGAATTCTCCCTCCAGTTACCTATTCTGCCTTTTGAGTCGGTGTCATCCCCGGTACAAAAACAACGTGGATCAAACATCGTCACGTCATATGTTAAATGCAGTCGAACAGCCGACTAGCATATCGAATCGTTTTGCCCTTTCAAGCTACGTCAGATTTCCTGTTTAATTCGACATTCAATAACAGCAGCTTCACATTCCAGAATATGTAGAACTTCAAAATTAGCGACTCTCCACTTCTAGATAGTGATGACTCGCAGCTGAGCCAGCGCAGCGCGTCTAAACATTATTCTTCGGCGATTACGCGTCAGAGAATTATATATTGAAACTAATAAATTCATCAACATGTTTTTGTGTTTTGTTTCTGCACAATTTTGATATATTGAACTATCAACGAACACCATTATGTTGCATGATGGTCCTTCAGTGACGTACTATATTTTTTTTACATTACGTCAATACGTAGACTTGCACAAGCTCCAGTATCTGGAACATAGGGTGAGAGCAATTGTGTTGGTCTTTAAACAAATTCAATTAGAACTGATCGCTGTTCATTATGTCCCCATATGGAGTGTTGGTGGACTTATTGTGTTTGCTCCGTTTCTTCTTATTATTATTAACTCCCCCTAACGAAGTGAGGGACTTAGTAGTTTTACTCCGTTTCTTATTATGAAGTGGCTACTTATGCAGGGTTCTGATAGGTCGAAATTTAGATATTCTTTGATTTCACTCAAATTTTGTGTGTAGGTGTATTTGAGCACTGCGTACATAACTGCGGGTGTTTGGGGACTTCTATTATGGTCCCCCATTACAATTAGTACTTGTTATTAGGGATTTCCATTTCGGATGGAAATCCCTATTGTTTTCGTTGTTTTTTCTTATTCTTATTATTAGGGATTTTCAATTCGGATAGAAATCCCTATTGTGATTGTTAAGAACGAACACAGTTTTACCGTTCATAGTTCACAACATGATAAAGGACAACGATCTCTTGACACCCGAACAAAATCACGAGCATTACTTTAAAGGTCAAGGTCACAGATCTATAAAAAGGGTTTTTTAAAACGTTTTTTCGAACGACCATAACTTCAAAAGCGTTTGTTGTACTTCATGCACGCTTAATATTTCATGTAGATCTGATCGGGGCTAACTTTTTTCAATACATGCCATCAGAGAATATGTCCAGTTCAAGGCCTCGGTACCGGGTAAAATAAAGGTCAAAAATGAAAATCTCTAAAATGGTTCATTATTCATCAAATATTTAAGAACACGGTCTAATGAAGGTATGTGGAAAGTTTCAAGGTCATTGCATGAAAAATGTCGAAGATATGCCACTTTGAAAAATGTTCCCGCCAAATTCAAAATTTTGAAACTTGTGTACTTAAAACTCTTTTTCTCCATAACCATGACGCATACGAGTAAATATTTTGCAAATTTATAGAATGTATGCTTGACTACTAAAAATCATTGACCTTGACCTACTTTCGAGGTCACAGGGGTCAAATCAGGTTGAGTGACGGGGGAATCCTAACAAAATGACAGATTAATGTCACAGGCGAATGTTATTTTGAACATGCATTATGATAGTGTACAGTGTATACAATTCCTGTTATTTTGATACTAAATGTGTCATATTGGTATACATAAAGTAAGCGTAGGGATACTTTTAATTAGGAAAACATGCAAAATGCTCACAAACTTTAAAATATAACCAACATTGTCAACTTGCCTATGTATAGTTACAATGGTAGTCTATATCTTAAACTTCTTTACAAACTTACCATCCATGTCTATAGAATCATTTTTATTTAATAACAAAACCGGTAAAGTATTTTTTTAGCATGCTAAACATGATCAATGCCCTATTTCACATAATCATGGAAATTTGATTATCAATGTTTATTATGGTAAATACCGATACATTTTCTGTTTTTGTATCATACCAAAACACTATATTATATTACGCATGATTTTAAGTTATGTGCAGAAGTAATAACTCATAAATATATATACTGTCAAAGTATTTTTTTTCCTTTGGAGAACTACTTAAGGCTGAGATTGTGTTATAGACAAAGATATGCAAGTACATAAAAACAATTAAATAATCTTAATAGTAAAACTATTATACACTTTATTATACCCCCGCAACAAAGTTTGGGGGTATACGTCCGTCCGGCGTAAACTTTTGTTTGTCCGGCATTTTCCTCCTACATTTTTCTACCGATCTCTTTGAAACTTGGTATGCATTATAATCATGATATGAAGTTGTGTCTCCCTTAGCAGAATTTTGATTCGACAATATTTCCACGAGTAATTGCCCTTTGTTTATTTCAGTATTTGATTTTTGTCCGGCAATTTCCTACATTTTTCAACGGATTTCTTTGTAACTTAGTATACATTATAATCATGATATGAAGTTGTGTCATAACCGAATTTTGATTCGACGATGTATGCAAAAGTTATTGCCCTTTGTTCATTTCAGTATTTGATTTTTTTGTCCGGATATTTTCTCCTACATTTTTTATAGCATGTCAGCTAACCACTCTTAGAATGATGCAGATCGCTTTTTCAATATAAGAAAGTATATACAGTTGTGGGATCGCACAACGTTACACGATGTGCGGTGTGCGCACGATGTGTGCACGGTGTATGAATGATGTGTGTACGATGTGCGAACGATACAAAGTTGGACGATCATTCCTTACGCATATTTGTGTGCACGAAGGGCGAACGTTGTGCGATAACAATCGTGGTTGGTGTTAATTGAGGAATGCCTTAACAATATATACTGTTTCGTGTTTAAACATATACACTTGATTTTTATGTATGTTTCTATATTATGCCTACATCTATAAGCTTATCTTTATGTCTATACTTTCCTAAAATGAGAAATTGTGTTTTCGGTATATTTAAACGACCTTATCGACACAAATTACAACACAGTCTCGTATACAGGTAAGCATAGCCATTTTTTACCTGGACCGTAGTTTTCCCCCGCCCGGGGCGCTTACGTATTTCGTCGGATAGGGCTAGGGGTGTGAACATCCAGGTGAAGGGGAGCTATAACAAATAACAAATACTAAACGTGTCAGGTGCAGACCAGGTAAAACTTCGGTCCCTCATCAAATTGTTATTTATCTGTTCTGTTACCTTGGAGCCAAACCCATTCAACGATCACTGTAATGCTGTGTTACACGCATTGTAAAACTGTACATAATCTTCATTACTGTGATGAGAAATTACAGTAATGCAAACAGTTTTCATTATTGCATACGAGCTTTTCGTATTTGTTTTCATTCCGTAATTTTGATCTACAAAGTTTACCAAATCGCACAGTTGTGCGGAGAGAAGCGCACAATGGGACGAACGAATGTTAAATCGCACAGTTGTGCGCACCATTTGTGAACGAATTGCGGACGGTGCGTGAACGGTGCATGCATGGTGTGCGCATGCTATTTTTGGTGCGTTGGGCGGTCACACCCAACTGTAACACTATATGGCATTCAACGGGCGTATATATTCTGCCCCGCGGTACTCTTGTTATAGATCTTGGTCGGGGCTAACCTTTTCCCATGACATGTTATCAGAGAATATGTCAAGTTCAAGGTCAAGTCACTGTCCGTCCTTGGCTTTGGTCAAAATAACAGAGCTGTCAATCACCATTACCTGTGGTACCATCATTACATGTACTGGGGTTCGTGTGGCGTTGTCCGAATAGCACAGCTGTCATTCACAACTATTTCAGGATAAAGTCCCATTAAGGGGTGGGAGAGGGGGAAGGGAAGAAATAAACGCTAAACGCCTTTCTATCAATGCTGACCATTCAGAAATAACTTGACCCTATAGTATGAATAAGGTACAAGGTTTGTCAGAGAAGGGAAGTGAAGGGAAACGTATAAAAGCGATCGTCAGTCCGAGAACATATCTTAGATCATTTTTTCTGATGGAAATCCCGTGTTTTGATCATGATCAAATCTAGTTATTATTATTATTCTTCCTCTTCTGCTTCTTATTCTTCCGCCGTAAAAGTTTCCGACACTTTTCTCAAAGAAATTTTGACAATAATTAATGAAACTTTACAAAAATGTGCATCATGGGTGTGTGCAAATGACCTTTAATTTCCCTATCAGTCATCAAACATGGCTTCCACAGCCTCTTATTGGTCGAAATTAGATATTGGTCGGTTTATTCATTTGGTATGTAGGTGTATTTTTGCATCATTGCGACTATGGGAGCAGTGTGGGGTACTTTTGTAGTACTTCTTCTCCCCCTTCTTCTTCTTCTTCTTCTTCTTCTTCTTCTTCTTCCACTTCTTCTTCCACTTCTTCTTCTTTATCTGCTTTCGCCGTGGACTTGTGATGCTATTTTTGATGGAAACATACACCGGGACATGATAATTTGTTACAGCTATATTTTTGACTTAAACTAAGTTGTTCAGAGTAATTGTACATGTTTTAGTGTTAAGATCGACTTTCGGTAAAAATGTTTATAATCAATGGATTATCAAATAACTTATTATAGTTAAGTAACATGTAAACATACAATAAACAATAAAAATATTACACTAGCTTGTTCTTTTAAAAGTTGTGACTTAATGAATGTGAATATTTACCTATAACATTTGGCACAATTTAATGATGAAAAGTCAACTTATTAAATAAGCTGACAATATGTCTTTAACTATTAACATATATTAATTAGAGGCAGAAATAATAAAAATTAAAAAAAT